CCCCAAAACCCCAAAACCCCAAAACCCCTAGGCTATAAATTAAGTTGACCTATGTTGTTAATAAACATTCAAAAATGGAGATAAAGCAATTGCCAAAACAACAAATCACTTCGATAGAAAGAGTGACTCGAAGAGTTATGAGCCCATGCAACAAAGGAGCTGTAAGAGGAGTAAGGAAAACGAAGAATCCTCTGAAAACCAAGATTTCAGCTAAATTACCTCGAGTTTTGCTAACAAGGTCTGCGAAACTCTCTGATAATGGTTTATCACACCTCTTCAAAGAAAAGATCCCACAAAAGTTCAATTTGTTGAGGAGAAGATGACAAAGGACAAAATTGGATTTTTCTAAATTTGGGGTATGCGAACGTTCAAAAAAGTAGATGAAATATTCTGGTTTTTTCACTCGAAATTTTTCTAATTGATAACAAATAGACTATGAATATAAGTGACATGAAGGCGACGATAAAGAGCATGATCTCCTCAAAAAGAGGCAGAAGGACCATTAGAAATACCAAAGGAGGTGTCTGAAAGAAAAATAGAAGAAGGGTCTTGTCAGTAAGAAAGTATGACCAAGAAACCCTTCAGATGTATGACCACGAGAGTAAGCAAATCACTGATGTTCATAATATGATGATCCATCATGTAAATGAAAAGTTAAGGTTCAAAAAGCTTGTCAACGGAAGATTCTTTTCGCCTCAGGTTTTGAGACAGAAAGCTTCTACTTTTCAAAGGTAAGCACTCAAGAGCATGTATTTCCCTCGTTGCATGTACAACTTTTTGAATATTCTGGGCTGGTTTTAATTATGCTCATTATAGATATTCTGACTTTGAGGCTCAAGTTTAGTACAAAGGAGGCAAAATTATATCAAAGAAGAGAGAAAGATACCACAAACTAAAGACTGAAGCTCTCTTCAAAAACCGTATTAATTTAATTATGCTAATAATAACTTTTGGGCTAAAAACTCTTTGGTTTATTGGTCACTAGGTTTAAAAGTTGCTTCAGATTTCCAAAATTTTGAATTCTTGGAAGAGATAGAGTATAAGTCCTCCTATCTAGAAATAGTTCATTTTGACTCCTAATTTTGCACCTTTTCTGCCAAAGCCCTGTCTATTGAAGCAAAATGTCAGTTAGAAATATTTAAAGGAGTACTTCAATGGGAGATGTACCTTCACCTTTTTCCTATCGAGTCAAGAGGAGCATCTGTCCAAACCTCGCATAGAATTAATTACTAAGTGTCCTTAGATTCCAAAATATTTGAGGTAGGCCATCTCTGTGAGCCTATTCGTTAGATTAAAATTTCTATGAAACCGATCAAACCATTTTTTAGCTCAAATTTAATTTTAGAAAATAAGTCATTTGTTTGCTCATTGCTTTATAATTATATCCCTTTTCACCATTATTATTTGGTGATGGAAAATATTAAGAAGAGTTGAGTTCTCATTTTATGTCCATCTTGCTTCTGAGGAGAGCAAGAAATCTCTCTTCTTTGATTTGCTTGTTAATTTCCAAAAATTAAGTATTTCACAAGCAAAGTTCAACCATTAATTATAAATACTAAGACAGGTATTCTCCCTAAACCTAGACAGTTACAGATATGGCCCATTGTAATATTTATGATTTTCTATAAATTTGCACACAAAAACCAGTTCCTTAGCTCTATGGTTAATCGAATATCAATTTAAATTTTCAAAAATTTGGGTAAAATATCAAAAATGTATGAAAAATTAAGAATTGTTCTGAAAAGAACTTACCAAGGTTCTCAATAACTTGCTCTTGCTGTAAGGTTTGATGCATATTTTGAGTCCCTATTAGGTTAAAGTCCTATACTAAAGACAACGAATAATAAAGAAATCAGATAAAAGCAAGAATTAGAACCGATTCGCCAGTTTCTTTTATTGATTTCCAGGATATGCATTTTTTTGCCTAATAACTTGTTCAAAAGATTATCACAGTGAAATCTAATGGCTTGTAAGCAAACAATAAAATGTTATATTATTGAAGCTTAATGACTACCTTTTGTGATTTCTGAGACTACAAAGAGCCTGAAACTGTATTTATTGAACATTATTAAACTTTTAATGATTAATAAGGCATTTCTGAATAGAATCGAAGAGACGCACAATCATTGGGTTTTTTGGAATAAATTCAAATTTTTATCTGTTTCCGAACTTCTTGTTATTTAAGTTTTTATGCATATTTTTAAATAAATTTAGTGCTGATTGGCTATTACAAGGGTATCATGATGTCTCACCACATTTTTAACATGCTTATCCAAACAAGCACTACCAAGAAAATTAGATCGAAAAATTCTAATTTTGTACATAAGAATCCAAATGCAGTTCAGACAAACAAAAAAGTTAAATAGGAGGAACTAGGTGACACTAAAATATTATTTTTAATGATTTCTTCTCAAAAATTGATAGTATTCTCTTGCTTTCCACTTTTTGTTGAATCAAAATTGGCAACGTAAAAAGAATACGATCTAATAACTCATTTTCTAACCCGAATATAAGGATGGTCAATAATATTGACAAAAAATGAGCAACTGGAAATTTTAACCTCACAGAATCGCTAAATTATTTGAAAATAAATTAATCAGCATAATTTTCAGGTTACAAAATTGGGCATGCCATTTTTCAAGTCTTAGAGGTGAAGGCTTATATTTTGTAGAGTTTTAGTAACTGGTTAGCTACCATTGTGCTCACTAATTATTTGAGCAAAAAGGAGTGAATAATGATTATGAAACATCGGTTTGAATGCTGATAGATATACAAAGTTAATTCTTATCCATTCAAATATAAATCAGACTTCTCTCCAAGTTTTCAAGCCTGAAACACCCACTCTTCACCAACAATGAACTTTTCTGACAAATTCAATCAAGCTGTTTAATAATGGGGTTTTGGGGTTTTGGGGTTTTGGGGTTTTGGGG